TTGTGAAAACAGGTGTTTTTGAATTCATCCAATTTGAGGGTCCATGTCATATTTTTCGAGAGGGTATGCGACGGTATTTCACAGGTTTCGGCACACATGCACGCAAACAAACGCGGACAGACGCTCAGAGTTGGCTTGCAGATAGATGGCCTCAACCCATGATGAAGCGACTGTATAGCAAACATTGCCAATGGACCAAACAGTGTGCACATGTGTATATGTTGTTGGCAGCATCTCAAGGTCTCATAAGGTCTGCGCAATTTATATAAGGAATTCATCGTTTCAAGAATTTTAAGATGGGGCAGCTTCTTCATCCCACCATTTCGGCTTTGTTCCAGCACGCAGTGCACAGATTCAGCGATGGCCACGGGCCACCGACCTTCACATGATCCGATCGTCCACTCGTCCCAAATGATCTTCAGTTGTTGGTGTTGGCTCGGCCATCGAATCCAGCTGCGGCGCGGCCGGACGTCCCGTTTGACCTTTTTTTGAAGTCGTGAAGCTACGTGTCACGTTGGTTCCCACTGGGGTGAAACATTGTTTTGGATGCTTGGTCAAGGTGCATGAGAGGTGCATGATTCCTCAAGGTGTAGTTGCAGTTCCTCGTTCCACCCCATGTGACTCATGAGTTTGTCCAGAGAGGCCGCTTGTAGCGCAAGCTTGCCGCCCACAGTTTGCGCTAAGTTTCAAGGCACGGAACAATGTTTAGCCGTTCAGCCGTTCGGCCAGACATTATGGAGAAGTTGGCTGTTGATCAGCGCTGCCGCCAGTAGCCAGCCATGTTCTGCAAGGGTCTCTGCGTGGCCCGCGGTTGCAATGACAGAAACTGTATCCATGTAAATCGGGTGGGGTTTGTGCCAATCATATGCAAAAAACAATTGTCCCATGCCAATCTCTACTGATAGCGTTTCAGGGATGACCAAATGACTAGGGGGGGCAAGATGCTTCTTCTGATCTTGCTGTTTGTCGTTTTCTGCCCTTGGCACAGAGGCATTCAGCAAGTGGTTTGAGCCACCAGCCACTATTTGAGAGATGTTGGTTCTAGATGCAAGATGACCCATCGATTCTTATCCATGTTTAGACTCCACCATCCCAAACCCAAATGAAATTTGCACTGCTCATTCTTGCAACAAGCCTCGCTGATCCCCAACTTCAGTCATGGCCCAGCGTTCAGAAGCCAAAGGAAGGCTTGGAGCGCTTTTGAAGGCTGACGTATTTCTACGGCATGGTTTTTAGGTGCACAGAAATAGGTCTCATTCGGTCAAAGCCCTGGTGCTCACCGATGTGTTTTGAATCAGGGATATGCAGTAGGGGAATGATGCTATCCAAATCCGACACCTGCAAACGCGTGAGAAACAGAATCCCATCGTTCTGATGCTATTTCCATCTATTCCTGTGGATTAATTCCGGGAGGACCATTTGAAGTGCCGATGATGCTGTCAACACCGGTGTTGCCCAGCTTGCTCATAATAGCTCGATTCGGGGCGGTGGTGATGGTGACAGTGCGACCACCCCGCATGTGGGGAACTACTGGGAGGCACGGGCCTGGGCGAAACAAAAGAATTCATTATCTTGCCCCATCTTGCCCCAAACAAAGTATAACAAAGGAAAAAACTGGGAAATGACACCCAGGGTTTTGACAGCTTTTGACCGACCAAGTCCGTTTGTTCCTCAATTGCTCTCTAGGAGCACGCAGCAAGGACCATGGCCTTTGCAGCAGCGAGAAGGATGGAGAAAACGTCGCCCGGCACGCGCAGACCCAGATCGATTTCCGCACCTGACAGATCGATGGGCTCCAAAGAAGCGCAGATCCAGCAACCTTTGTTCATGTCATTCACGTCAAGACTCAAGACCTGGACTTTGTCCAAGGCCTTGGCCTTCACACTGACCTCGGACGCTCTCGTCATCCGAGGTCAAAGGATGTGATTTTTTCTTTTCCAGAGCTAAGATGTGGTAACGGAAGGCGTGAAATGCTAGTAGGTGGACCTTTTGGATTCGAGAACGTCCTGCCAGAACCGCTTTCACCAGATTGGAAGAATGTCCTGCCAAAAGACGCCGCCACCTACCATATATATATATATATATACCAAAAGCATCGGGCTGCCCAGTGTCTTCTGGACATCTCCGGATCCCGGCAAGACCGCCATGGCTGCTTTGCCGACTGCACACCTGCCATTCGGGGAGTAGGTTCTGTGCTGCCGCTGCGAAAGACCTTTCGTTAAAAATGGCCTTTGTATGTTTGTTGGTAACGATCTGCATGCTTTAATACGACTAATATACAACTACGACCACGACGGTTTAATCCTCTTATCATTGATAAGTCATGGGCTCGGCTGAGTTCCCAGAAACTTGGGACCCCAAACCCCCTCCGCCCGCCCACCCAACTTGTTTGATTCCCTCAACTGGATTCGATTTTCTGGAAGATCCCTGCATCCGAAGCGCCGGCAGACAGGGCCAGTTGGTCCATTACTGCTTTGTTGGTGGTCCACATTCAGCACAGCCAAGGATCAGTTTCATCCCTCACCTCATCAGTTTCACTCTCGCCGAGCTCCGCTTGCAGGCGTGCAGGCACGCAGCACTGCAGCATCCAAGGCCCCAGGTGTGCTCTCCTGAGTGAAGATCCTGACTAGAAGATGGGTGTTCTCATACACGGAGGCCTGACATATTTGCATAGCAAATCGCGCAGGAAGATGTTGAATAGGAGGGTGTGCATGTTTGGTGTTCATATCAAATCTATACATATTCATATTTGAAAAACAGTTGCACGGTGTCCACCATGTGCATCAGATCTGCCACCAATTTGCTGGCACATTTGCTTGGCACCTTTGCACAAGCTGTCCCTTCAAGACGTAGGGAAGTGTAGCGACACATGACCGAGCATCAAATATGTTCTTGCACACAGAACACTCCAAAAACAAGAAAGCCACGCAAGAAGCAAGTGAACATGCAAAAACACAGGAATTTGCTTAGTTGTTGCATGTTTATTGGCTTGTTGTTTCCTTTTTTCGTGGTAAACATGAGAACTTGCGCTCATGCGAGCCTTTTACCAGTCAGCAATGTTTGCACAATCCTAAGAGGTCCTAATGCGGATTGAAAAAAAAACACATACAAAGTGAACAAAAGCAAGAACACCATGCATGTGAGCAAAATGTGAAAAACGAACACACGAAACCAAAAAAGAACAAACCAAAACACAAAGAGCAACGCTTGACCAAAGCTCCCTACCCCGTTGTGTTTGCTTTTTGGCTCCGTCGGTTTCGCCGTGCCCGTCTCGCTCGAGGTCCACACACCGAGCTCCGCTCGCTTTGCTCAGGAGCCTGTCGTGGGGCCATGAGTCCGGGGGAGTATGTCGTGGTTTTCTCAATGAAAACGGACCAAATGGGAATGTATCATTCGAAGGATATTCAAGGTAATTGGCTATGAATTCAGGGTATTTTGGTTGCAAGAATCAACTCAGTTGCTTTGAATATTGTATCATAGCTGACAAGAGGCCCAGTCTCAGACACTTTGGGACTACCACACGTTGCAGGACCTGACACTCTTTGCCGACACTATCACGTGAAGCGACAGAGGTTGTGTTGCATTTAAAGAGCCCAACCGTTGTGCTGGGGCTATTTGCGTTGTTTGCATCCATGTTGTCATTTGAGCAGCGAGATCGTGTTGAAGTGCAGCCGTTTCTGCTCATTTGCACTGTCAATCTGTGCGGTTCTTGCATTTGGTGGCGTTGAGCTACTCTTATCCCGCCCTAAGTTGGATGGCTAGCCTGTTGAAGCACTTGCCGACATGGATCGCCATCACAGTGACTGAGTGATGGTTTGAAATGTTTTTCTGTTTCCGTGTTGTTTACATACTGCACTACCTACTATAGCATTACTGTATAATATAGCCTTTATGTTTACATGTTCTGTTTTGACCCGAGAGAGGTGGCAACTTGGGTCATTTGCTGGAAGATGGCAGACCCGCAGCAGTGCCAAGACCTCTCAGTGACTGGGCGGATTGGAGATCCTGAAGAGGTCCAAGATCCTGAAGAGGTCCTTCCCAATGACTTGAAAAAGAGGTGTTTTTTTGGAACATCTTTGACTTCGAAACCAATGTGAAGTGGAGAATGGGCATCGTACTCATCGTACCCTCCAATGGGCATCGTACCCTCCATGTTGTTTAAGAGCTGAAGGTTTAGCAGACGTTTGTTTGGAATATGGAGTTGGAGTCGTTGGAGACTTCGCCATGGAGCCCATTGGAGTTCCCCTTCACGTTGCAGGACCCAGAGCAGGACCAAACAAGAATGCCAAGAAACCACTGTTGGACCAACAGCGCATGGGGGTTCAACGGTGCAATGGACCTCATACTAACCTCGGTTCCACATACATTCCTTAGGAAACAGCATAGCCTATCCCATTTCAAGGCAGCACTGGAAGTCAGGAAATCAATCCTTCCGTGCCTTCACTTGTCTTCAATGCCGTTATGCCATTCACCGAACCGCACAGAAACACCATTATGAATGTTCAGGCTCTCTACAGAACACTGGAAAATACGCAATGCATAACTCACAAGCACATCGAAATAACTTGAGATGCCATCTCAATCTGTTCATGCCTGCTTCTCTTCGGTATCTTTGTATCTTAGGTATGCCGTTCACAGATGGCGACATATCCCGCCTACATCCACATGATCTCCTCCACTGCTTTGGTGGCTATGTCTGGCAATGAGATTTGTGGTCTTGTGGCGACCTACATGGGAACCAAGTGCCTTGCCACCAGAAGCACACAGCCAAGCAACCAGCACGCGCGTGAAGGGCGTTGGGCGCTTAAACACCGCAGGGGCTTTTGCGGGGTTGAGGTTTGATAGGACTCCAGTGGGATCGAGCTTCAAAGTCTTTAACAAGACCAGAACTTACAGAAACGCCATATGCACCCTGCCGTAGAATAGAGTCATGCTCGAATGCACATACATAACTCGTCGAAAACTACGCTTCCATTTCCATGCGATTTGTCGTCTCTTTTACGCCTCTTCAGGCGAACTCAAGAGTTGATCCCGCACTTGCGAAGCCGCTGCTTGCCCAGCTTCTTGCTGGCGCTGATGTTTGGCTGGTTGGCTGTGGTGGAGTACTTCTTCGCACGTCCTGGCATGACTTTGGCCCATGTCCATACCAACGCCGATGGGATGACCGTCATGGGAAGGCCGGTCTACACTTTGCGCTACATCGAGCTGCTGAGATGAGATTTCAGTAGTGTTGTGTGCCGACTGAAGGGGAATGATCAGCTCATGTGTGTAGTCCAAGTGAACATAACTTTAGATGCAACATGCAGTAAAAAAAATCTCCAGATTTGTTTCCAGAACTGTCCAAAATGATTCCATGTTTCCAGATATCTTGAGGTGGTGCATCAACGTGCCGATCCTGTTCCTATTGTCAGGCCACTGCAGCTTGGGCCGGCCCGTGAAGGAAATCTCAAGGCCCTTGATGGTGACGAATGTGTACATCATTTTTTCATGGATGGCCACTGTCACAGAGTCAGCTTTGCTGAAGCCTGGTCAAATTGTTGTTCAGGTGAGTATATTAATCATTTGTTTATTGATAAATATTGCTTACATTGTCGCCTTGCTTTCCCTGGGAGATCTCCGGAAACAGAGCCAAGCAAACTTATAGAGGCCTTTCCCCCCAAACAAAAGGGGAATAACCCTCGATCCCATAAGATCTCCAAAGTTCGAGCCGAACGCCAAAATCCGTCTTAGGAAGTGGACCTTGATCATGGCAGCCTTCTTCATGTATGGCTGGGCCAGCTTGGATATGATGGGCTGGAGTCGTGAATTTGAACGGACCGCGCCACAAGATCTCCCAAGCCGCAGTGTACGACCATGGCTCTCGAATGGTCTCATCATCCACTTCCAGTTCTTTGCCGCCTGCTACATGGCCAGTTGTTTGGGCATCATTGATGCCAAGACCGAACAAGTGGGTTATTTCATCGTGACCTTCGGAGCCAAGATCGCCTACTGTGCCACCTTTGTGTTCATCCGTGCCGATGAATACCACAAGACCTTGACAGATGTCTTGCAGAAGGTGAGCGTGTCCAATGTGGGGATGATCTCCATCTTGCGCTGCAGCTTTGACATCATTGTCCCTTGCGTCATGGACGCGGCAGGTCGTTGCAAGTTGCCCCTTCAGGTCTCAGGAGACATGCTAAAGCTTGAAAAGATGCTCGGCTGCCCGGTGGCCGGTGCCAATTTGAAGGACTTGTTGGCACAAGAGAAGGATCGCACCGACTTCTCCGAGTACGTCCGCAACGTGGTGCGCCAGGCGGACTGCCCGCAAGCCTTCTCGGAGGCGACCTTGACCACTTCGGGTGTGTGGAGCTGTGGCGCGGGTGTCACGCCTCCCATGGCGCAGGTCTTGCACAGCAAAGTGCGTGCAGGGTCCGCCCAGTTCCGTGCCACCATACATTTGTCGGTGGTGCCACGTTCGGCCATGAGCAATTGCAAGGAGCGTAACCTGGTGGCAGCGATTCAATTCGAAGAGTTGGAGGACCAAGCTGATCCGGACCTTGATACCGCAGAGGCCTCCGGATATGAGACGTTCAAGGACCAACGACAGACTTCAGCAGGCTGGGGGTGGCACGGGGAGGTACACGG